GTGAGGAAGCAGCTCAGGCCAGGGGAGAAGCCCTGGAGGTGGGGTGGGGCGGCCTTGAGCACAGGGTCACTGAAGGCCAAGAACCTGAGCTGGTGGGAGGCCCCCAGACCCCCACACAGCAACTCGAGGAAGGGCAGGCATGTAAGGAAGAGCTCTGGAGCATTCCAGCCCTGAGCAGAGAGGAGACAGAGAGGAGCCTGGAGGAATATCCCAGGAACGTGGGGTATGTAGAACCTAACAGCTCTGTGGCAGAAGCCTGGGAAGACAGAAGAAGGGATGTGGAGAGAGGGAACACCCAGGAGGAAAAAGCAGATGCTGAAGAGGGGAAGGAGGAGGCTACAGGAGGCCAGGCACCGGTGGCGGAGGCTGAAGGAGGCCGAGAGTCTGCACGACCAGAGGTCCCAGAGGCAGGAGGGGAGTGGATGAAAGTAAAGGAAGCCTGGCATGGAGCAGAGGATGGGGAGGCCCCTGGAGCAGAGAGCCAGGAGCTGGGTGGAAGGCAGGGAGCAGAAGCAGGGACCGTCCAGTCATTGGGAGAGTCAGACGCCACAGAAACCAAGGAGGAGGAGGTGGAGGCCGGCGTGCCCTGGGGGGCAGACAGAACATCCAGGAGAGGCTGGAGGCTGGAGGCAGAGGCTCTGAGTCTCCAGGACAGCAACGACATGGAGACAAATTCTTTGGCTACCGAGATCGTGGAGGATAAGGCAGCTCTGGATGGAAGGGCTCCTGGGACTGGGGACAGGCCGGGCAGAGAGGCTGAGGAAGCATTCGAGAGAGACTGGGATTCAGAAGGGAGAGAGGAAGCCGACGGAGGTGAGGACCTGGTAGAGGCTGCAGAGGGGGATAATGCAGGTGGGCAGGAATTTGGCCTGGAGGGCTCAGCAGAGGAGGAGGCGCCTGGCGGAGGTGGCCAAGCAGAGGCCTCTGAGGCCACTCGGGTGGGTGAGCCCGGGGGACAGCAGGCTGAGGTGGAGGAATCCACAGTAGCAGAAGGAAGCTGGGGGATGGATGGCGTTACCTCGGGCTCCCAGGTGGTGAGGGTAGAGGGCCTCCCAGGAGGGCACACACTGTGGGAAGAGGCTGGAGGATGGCAAGCGAAAGAGCAGGGGCAAAGCAGTGAGGGGCAGCACGGGGACAAGCACCCCGAGGGAGAGGCACAAAGGCCCCTTGTGGTGGAGGATATCGAGGTGACTGGAGACCAAAAGGCAGAGGCCGAGGAGATTGATCCAGAAGGCCTGGAGGACGTCCAGGGCCAAGAGGACCAGTCAACCAACCAGGACCCCCCAGATGCTGAGCCTGGACCATGCGGGGAGGCCACCGGGAGCGCCAGAGGGGATGCTCACAGCAGCTGGAGTGAGGTGAGGGCTCCAGGTAGGGTCCTGGGCTGGACAGAACAGAATCCCGAAGCTAAAGCCGGCCCCGTGGTACCCCGTGCCCTCTTCCCCGTAGGCCCTGCTCCCCGGGGCTCGCCTGGACGTCTCTGTCCCGAGGAGCCGAGCCCTCCTCTCCCGCAGCTCCTCACAGCGCCGCTCCCGGCCCTCTTTCCGACGGAACCCCGCCCCTGAGCAACCGCAGGAGCCTCCCAGCCCCCCACCGGAGGAAGAGCTCGTAGCCCCCCAACAGAGACTTCTCGAGCCAGAGCACGCCCCGGAGCCAAGCTCCTCCAGCCTTGAAGGGACTCCACTGCCACCCAGAAGGCCCCTGGGACAGAGGTAAGCACAGGGGGAGGTGACCGGCCTGGGATGGGGAGGAGGCTCACGGCATCTGGACACCAGCTCCCACGGCCTGTCTTCCGTCTGCAGGTTTGGCCTGGCACACCCTGGCATGATGCAGGAGCTGCAAGCCAGACTGGGCCAGCCAAAGCCCCAGTGACTGGGACATGAGGCTCAGAAGGCTGGGTTGAACCCTGCTCAGCCTGACTCCCTCTGCCGCTTTGGACGCATTCTTTCCACCCCCTGGGCCTTAGTTTCTTGGTGTGTCATTCACAGAGCAGACAGAACCAGATGTCTGCGAGAACCATGAACTTAAGGAGTCTGACTCTCCAATGTGGCTGGTGGACCACTGCCCCGCTGGGGTCATCTCTCTCTGATGGCCTGCCTTGCCTACCTCCCCAACCTGTCTCAGCTGCTTGGAGGACTGAGCGAGGACAGAGACAGTTCTCCCCACAGCCTTCCCTCTCTACTGCGCCCACTCCTCGACCCCCACCCCCATTCTCAACCCCCCACCAGGCCCTGGAGAGCTGTGTAGGACTAACGCAAACCTCTGGGGTTGAAGCCGGCCTGGAGGAAGAGAGGTCAGGAGGGCCGGTGGCGCTCCATTTGCAACCAAAGAGAAGCAGACCAGCTGCCTTGAGCTTCCAAAGTGGGAGCTTAGTCTCAGAACTCTGCTGGTTACTATGGCAGCCACCAGCTGAACAAGCCAGAGTGGGGGAAGGTGGGCCAGGAACCCCAAAAATGTAAGATCAGAGAGGAGTCCAGGGTAACCAGAAGCTGCAGACTCTGTTCCAGGGCCCCTTTGCATGTCAGGCACCCCTTCTCGGAAAAGAAGCCGAGGCAGAGAGAGGGTGAGAGTGCTTTATTAGGCACCCAGCATGGCAGCCTAGTCTGAGGATGACTAGCAGGTCCCCGAAACAATAAATAAACCGTTTTTCTAAACAATAAATAAATATCTAAGAAATAAATATCTGGCAAGGACTGGAGGGGCCTTAAGTTATTGGATAGGGTCTGGGGTGGGAGAACAGTGGAGTCGTGCCTTGGCCAAGGCAGATGAGCCGGAGCCTGTCTGCTGGCCCAGACTCCAGTCCTCAAGTCCTGATGGGTGGAGGGAAGGGGCTAAGAAGTCACCCTCCATCAGGGCTGGGAGCTGGGTGTGGGGAACCCCGAGGCCTGGGCTGGGTTCCCGGCCTGGGAGAGCAGCAGCAGGTCCCTCACCGCCCGAGACAAGACAATTTCCAAGGAGTGTAGCAACTGGTAGGTGTAGAGAAGCCGGGGCCAGGACACCTGGGCTGACGTCTGCAAGGGGCCGTCCAGGGCCCCTGGGAGCAGCCCCTCCCCCTCCTCATTCTCCTCTTCCTCGGGGAGGTTGAATCCTGCAGCCAGCGCCTGTGGGGAGAGGCCCATGGGTCAGAGAATGGCCCGCCTGAGACCCTGAATGAATCCTTGTTTCTTTATGTGCCCGGTGGTGCAGAATGACATCAGAGACCACAAGGGCATGGTTTCCCTGGACAACCCCTACTTCGCATCCTCCATTATGTCATCGTTTCATGTGAACTGCCTGATTTTGTTTTTGGTTCAAATAAGTGGAAGTCACATAGCAAGATGGTGCTCATGGAGCTGGCTCTCACTCATCCAGGATTGCCCGGGGGACTGGGGACTCTGGAAGGTCCTCTCTTTCTCTATTTTTTTTTTTTTTTTTGCTGTGCCATGGCGCTTTGGGGATGTTCCCCTACCAGGGATAGAACCTGGTCCCTGGCAGTGAAAGCCTGGAGTCCTAACCAGTAGGCCACCAGGGAACTGGAAGTTCCTCTCTTAAGCGTCATCTTAAGATCAGAAATGGGCAGAAAGGTGATATGGTTAGTTTTTATGCTGTTTTCATTTTCTATTCTTTTATTAAGGGTAAAATTCCTATTTCCCTTTGAAATGTTCAGGAGAATCTGGTGATGTCAGAGGATGAGGGAGAAGGGAATGTACTTTGTTTGCTGTAGGGCCTGCTGATGCCAGATGCTGTCCTGGCTTCTCTCATTTAAGACCAAGACCCCAAGAGAAGGCAGAGGTTCAGGGGGCAGAGGTAGGACCTGGTACACCTACACACACACACACATACACACACACACACACACACACACACACACACACACACACACACACACACACACAC